ATGCTTTTAAAAGTTTGTTACATACTCATAACACCTGTGCTTGTTATTTATTATCTGAGAGAAGATATCATATTTATCATTTTCCCTTAAAAACTATATTTTCTTTCTCAAAGTTATTGCCTTTCTCTATCAATAATAGAATATAGTGGTGCTATTTTAAAATATATCTTAAAACATTATTTTCTTTATTTATAAAAGACATGTATAACTAGTAAACTTTAAGGCTTTTGAACTACAGCATACTGAGATCCAATAAATTTATGATGTTACTATTCCACATAACATGTACCAATTTCTAAACTTATCATTTCATAATCCTAACATATACTATTTCCAAAACAATCTATGTAAAATTAAAATCAAGTCATAGATTAAAAATTACTACCTATGATTGCCATGGGTAAGGAAAGGTATTAATAGTCCTTATATATACCCTACATACATACCACACTGTGTTATATATAGTTGGCAATTGATAGTTATTTGCTTAAGGTAGATAAATAGAGAAAATGAATTTAAGGTACAAAAGCTGGTGGCTCTGTCACCTTTCTAGAAGCACTGAGTTATTGAATGCCAGCAGTAGCACAGAAGACCCATGTGGTGTCAAAGAATAAAAGACTCCAAGAATTTTAATGAGGGTAAAAGGTCTAATAATTCACTCCCATTACGTGCTACATTTTGCCTTGCTTTAGAGAGTTCACTAGTGTAAGACAATAGCACAAAGTCTGTGATTTTTAAGCCTTGTAGCTGTCTATTATATGTCTTAACCTTGTGATCATGATAAAGCACACAGTAAATAAGTTTTAGGCCCTTTTTCTAGCCAACTATGTGGTATCTTGGGGGGTTGAATGTTAACATAGTCAATCTTTTCCAAAAGGAAATGTAAAAACTGAACACTGAAAAAACAAAACTGGTTCAAAGAGCATCAAGATTGTTACAATAAAAGCATCTTGAAAATAATGCCTTTAAACTTATTTCAACAAAACAGAGTATCTAACAAAGATTAAGAGTATCTAACAAATCATTGTAACAAAGTATCTAACAAATCATTAGAGGGATTTTTTAAGGCTTATTTATGAATATATCTTCAGTCCAATTTCAAAGGCCTACTTTTGCTGCTTTCTTGAGATCTTGGGAGGTGTACTAGATGGGACATTTTAGTTATAGTAGAGGAAACAATCCTGTCCAGCTTAATGGGGAAAGGGGGAGATTATAAAATTACCATGAAGTTGCAGGAGCATTTTATGGCTGGAATGACTGGACCCAACCAGTCTTCAGAAGCACACTAGACCCTGGAAATGAATGGTTCCCACATCAGTATTTGGGTAAATAGCTCTCTTTTTCAGCTCTTTGTGTCTGTTTCAGAGTTCTGGCTCCATTCTCTTGTTTGCACATCCTCTCTGACATTCAAACCACAAGACAAAAGAAGGCTGTGTTCTGGTACCCAAGTGAATAAGAAACTAACTCCTACAGAAACTGAACACTATTGGCTACAATCCACTCATGTAAAGGGGTTCTGACTGATCCAGCCTGTCTTATTCCCAAACACCTGGCCTGTTGGTGGAGACACAATGAAATAACATGACTATGAAGAGAGATTCACATGTTCATTTAGAGAATATAACACATAGAAAGCCAGGATCCATAATTGAAGAAAAATACTCATGTGTTCATTCAACAAAAATTTAACTTACTATATTTCAGGTGCTGCTCTAAACATGGACAATGCTGATTGTATATGTAAGTTAAACAGGGTTATCTGGGTAACCTGCTTTCATGAATCTATACAACTTAGGGTGTCTTCATACAAAACAAAACAAATGACAAAACACTACTACCTTGCTGGTTAGAGATGAAAATAAGAATGGGAAATCTTTTTAAAACAAAAGTAATTTACTTGACTTCCAGAAGTAAGTAAATAAATAAATCCAGAATCATTCGAAGATCACTACCCATGATGCCTTTCCAAACACATGACAGATTTAGGTCATTCTTGGAGAAAGGGAAATTGTGAAACTTCTATGGAAAGTTGTTCAGTAAATTAGAGTTGTATAAAATAAACCTGAGGGATATGTGATCCATATACTAGATTAATGCAAGTTTCTTACTCATTGATATAATTCAAAACATGAAGGAAATAATGGTATATTGGAAAATACACCTTCTTTACATTATAATATAGACAGATTATGTGTTTTGGAGGAAAGATACTAAGAGCCCAAATGGGCCATAATGTGGTTTGCAGAAAGAATATAATTTTATATTAAATGGAGAGCTTTTAGTATATTCTAAGGTATAATTTGGAATGATGGATTTCAATAATATACTATTATGAGGATTTTGGCAAACAATCTCTGTTCTCAGGACTCAGTAGAAGAGTTATTGCAACACTAAACTCATCAAGTATCAAACAGTGAGGAATCCAGGGTGTTCTGCCCTTTGTCCACTTCTTTATCTTATTCCTTTCAAACTCCCTTGACTATTTCATCTAATCCCAAAATGTTAAATTGTTCTGTCGATGCTATTATTTCCTAAGTATCTGTAATATAAGACTCACCACCTTCCCAATGCAATATTTTAGTCTACCTTCAAACTTTCTCTTTATTCCCACTGCATTGTAGGGCAGAAACCACATGTGATTTATTTGCATGTAAATGCCTAGTGTTTGGAACAATGCACACAAAGAACCCATTTATTAACTCTGATTTAGTCCTTCAATCTAAGTCTTAACCTAGTTACTCCCATTGGAATGTGCTAGTCTTCCACCCCACCCACCTCATGAGCTCTTATTCATTTTCTTGTGATTCAATTCAAGCACCTCTTTGATGAAAACTTTCCAGAATCCTTAGGAATTAGCCATTCTTTTCTTTGCTCAACATGCATGCCTATTATTAACTCAAGACAATATTTTATGATTCTGGGTAATTTTTTTTTGTATTAGCAACTACATACTTATATAACTATAAAACTTTTTTTGTCTTATGCTTATGCATACTTATATAATATATAAATACACACAGAAACACACACACAGTAGTTATGTATTACACATCTGTAATCCTCTACAGACTTCAAGATCATTGAAGTCACAGACAATAGATTACTTGCTATCTTATGCTTGGATTAAGAAGTATATATATGTCATGAGTAGAAAATATTTTTATAAAGAAAAAAGTATGTAATCAACAAGGAAAAAGACAAAATAATACTATTAAACTATTAAAGTTAGTCTTTTTTCTTTTTCTTTCTTTTCTTTTTTTTTAATACAAGGTCTATGTGCTCAGGCCTGCTTCAAATTTGCCATTCTTCTGTCTCTGCCTCCAGCTTCCAAGTAGCAGGGATTACAAGAGTAAACCACTGTGACCAGCTAGAATACAAAGTTTATATAAAGTTTTAAAGATGCTACTTAGGAACTAGCCATTACTTATTTGAAGAAACAACTTAGTTTTTGTTTCAGGTAGAAACCGTGGCCTTCCTTATCTTATTCACCACCAAATCTGTTTATTTTAATGCTTTCTTTCTTTCTTTCTTTCTTTCTTTTTTTAGATCAGAATGGCCACTCAAAGATATCCAACATCAACATCTATATGCTACTTTCATAAAGTTTAAAAATTGACTAAAGGCTATCTTTAGCCTTTTTAATCTATTATAAAAATGGGAATACTAAAATTATAAAAAAGTATAAGATTTTAATGTGACTCAATTTAAAGATTGTCATTTACAATATTAAGAATTATTTTGGTTGTCCAAGAAATCTAGGTACACATGCAGAAGACAAAGCAAACACACACCTGAAGAAAAGCAAAAGTCTCTAGATTGCATTTTTGAATTTTCTCATATTGCTCCAATCTATCATACTATATAGACTACTTCTTTGCCCTGCTTCACAATTCAGTTTTCTCCATTAGTTTCCCTTCTTCCAGAATGCCATTGAGTTTCTTTTATATTAGCTAGAACAGCTTGTGTATATTCCCTTTTTGAACAAGAGCCTGCCCCCATATATATATATAATATCTCATATATATCAAATATACAATGTTTAAATATCATTTTTATTTCTTGTTTAAAAAACTATTAAAATTATCATAGTTCTCTAAATAATACAATATCCACTAAATAATTTACCATATCAGTACTGGGAATATTATCATCTTGATTTATGCTAGACAATACTTCTAAGATATATCGAATATTGTTGAAAATAATACCAAATATGTAGTGGTAATGTTATCTAAAGTGTATCTTAATAATTCTTCTCTAATAATAAATTTTTCATTGTGCAAAAACCACATTCCAAGATCACCTTGTACAGTCCATTTTAATTTTAGATTTTCCTGCAACTATTCCAGTTAAAGAAAAACTGTAGGTATTAGCATTAATAGCTTGTTTAACAGAGTAACATTAAAAAAGGCCAAAAGAAATTTCCAAAAGATAGATTGTCTCTGGATAACTTCATCTTTACACATTATATGCATGCATACATGACCTTTATAAGTATTTTCAATGTCCCATGAGATTACTTTAAATAATTTATTGGGTTTCAAAACCAAACACCCTCCCCACTTTTGGTAACAGTCTGAGTCTTCTTATGGTAATACAAAAGAGTCTAAAAATGTCCAAAGTGACAGGAATGGAACAGAAAAGGAAGTGATTGGCTAAAGTCACCAATTCTTATCTGATTGGTCCTCTGACTCTCCTAGTCCTCAGCCTGTCAGAAAAAGACAGACTTGCAAGATGTCATGTACTACAACCTGACAGAATCTTTTATCCATCTCATGGCAGCAGTAACTGCTGTAACTCAAGGTGTCAGTCATCATGTCATTGTTACTCTTGTTCTTTTCCTGGGTGTGCTTCTGTATCTTATCTTCTTCCCCTAGTCACAAACCCTGCCGGCCAGGAAAGCATAGCTCTCAGGTCCAAGCCAGCAGGTCTCCCTTTACACATCATGACACCACTGTCGTCTCATAAAGAAGAGAAGAGAAAGAAAGAGACAGCTTTACCCGAAGGAAGGAGAGGTCCCGGTTGTGCTCGATGCTGGTTATCTCCAGGTTGCCCATGACTACCTCACAGTTCTCATAGTATTTGCGCAAGGCCCGGTACTGCTGTTCCAGGTCAGAGAGGGAACTCAGTTTATTCTCTGTTCCTGCACACACTGCAAAGACAAAAGATACATGTAAAGTTACATAACCTTTACATTACACCCACAATGATGATGTCTTCCTCCAAATCATTTCACAACAGCCAATTCCAATTCCCCAAATGAAAGTATTCTGAATGTCATTAAAAACTCACACATGAATAAATAGCTTCACATTTATATTCCTAAATTACATATGCTAACCAAGACAGTAAGAAGGAGCAGGTTCCCCAGGAACAAAGAGCAAGGAGATAGAATAATCTCACTTGCTGTGACTATATCAAGCATGTAAATATATTTAATTTCATTTAAACATGGTTTACATTAGGATTTGTAATTTACTCTATTTTCTAATGGAGTAATTGGACATATGTAAATAAATCAAAATAAAGAGAAGATAAAAGTAATATTTTTAAAATAGAATTTATTGTCTTTGTAAAATAAGCTGCTGAGCAATTTTTTTAGATTATTAAGATATGCTTTTGGAAGATCTCAAAATGCTCTTTTAAAAAACACGTTAAGCAATTTAGATTGATTAAGTATGTACTAAAAACAAGATATGTAACAAAATATAACTTTTATTATTATAACTGGATCATCACTATATATTCATGAATGTTCTGAAGTATAATAAACAGATAATCAATTACCTCTGTTTGCAATTTTTCATGGAGAGAGTCTTGAGTCTGTTCAAGAGCACATATATATATATATATACACACGTGTGGTTTGGGGGTTTATGTGTGCGTGTGATATCTTTTTGTCTCCAGAGACAGATTTTTAGTTGTTACATCTCATGGATCCATATTCCTACCTGTACACAATTATTGCCCTTTAATGTACTGACCCTAATCTTCAACAGACTAAAAAAGTTATAATATAGATTTTTTAATAGTAGCTTGAGAAGTTAAATTGTAAATTAAACTTTTTAAGTGAGTTACATAATTATATCGTACTGAATTCAAGGCAAGATTAAAAAGTACAAGTAAATTTTCAAAGCACTGAAAACAGAGATGAGGAATGAATTTATGATGTGTAATCTGTGTGTATGGCACACAGAAATGACAGAGAAGTCTTGATGCTTATTGTGTTCAAGGGGATTAGCTTCAGTAAAGGAGGAAAACAAATCTAGATGGGTGTTTCCTAATAATTAGGACTATCTTAAAGTTCATTTTCCAACAAACACATCAAAAATAACAAAAACCTGGGCTGGGGATGTGGCTCAAGCGGTAGCACGCTTGCCTGGCATGCGTGCGGCCCAGGTTCGATCCTCAGCACCACATACAAATGAAGATGTGCCCGCTGAAAACTAAAAAAATAAATATTAAAATTCTCTCTCTTTAAAAAAAAAATAACAAAAACCTTAATCCAAAAGTCTTTAAGGATAGTGCAGATTTTTAACCATAATGGAAGTTCATTATAAAGACAAAAACAAAACACATATTTTCTAGTCTAGTTTTTTTAAATTTATAGATATGCTCTGTTTAAAGTTAAATTATGTCCCCTGAAATATAAGTTGATGTCTAACCCTAGTACCTATAAATGTGACTAATATGATTTGGATAAATGTTCCCCCATAAATCTATGTGTTAATAGCTTATTCTCAAGTCCATAGTGAAATCGAGACTGTAAACTTGAAGAGAGGTAAGGCCTAGTTGGAAGCCTTTAAGTCACTTAGAACATGTCCAAAGAGGGTATTGTGACATGCCAGCCTAGTTCTCTCTCTTTGGTTTTTGCTCTCTGGCCCCGGGATGAATGGTTTTATCAGGCAATGCACTATTGCCATGATGTATTGTCTCATCATAGGCCTAAAAGAATCAGGGACAAAAAAGTATGGACTAGAACTTCTGGAACCATGAACCAAAGTAACATTCTTCTCTTTATAAGCTATTCCAGACATTTGTTATAGTAATGGAAAGCTGACTAATACATTAAGTATATTTTGAAATAAGGTCTTTATACATATACTCAGGTTGAGGGCATTAGAGTGAGCTTTAAATTCAATAAGATTGATGTCCTTTTCAAAAGAGGAAAATACTATATGAATGCAAAGACACCCAGAGAGAAAGCCCTGTTACCACAGAGACAGAGTGGAGTGATGCAGCAACAAGTGATGGAATGCCAAGATTCCAACCTACCACCAAAAGTTAAAGAGAAAAAGGAAAGAATCCAACCTACAGCCTCAGAGAATATGTTCTTGTTGAAACCTTGCTTTCAGATTTCCAATATCCAGAATAGTGGGGAAATAGTGCTGTTTTAAGTCAACTAGGGTGTAGCACATTGTTAGGGCAGCTCTAGGAAAACAATAAATAGTCTTCGACTTTTTTCTCTCTGAAATCCCACATATAAGTGTTAAAAATCACTTCCTTTCTTTCTATAGTCCTATCTTCCTGTCACCTCCAATCTGTTCTCTCTTTCTCCCTCCTGAGTTTCAAGCCCCTCAAACACCATCTTGGAAATTGTTTGCTGCCTTTGAGAAAGCAATTTTTGTAGAGTTATGATGATAGATGATATAGCAAAGACTTCTAGAATCTTAATATCACTTTCCTGTTCCTTGATAGTAATCGACTGTACAATTTTCAACTGGCATGTAGCCACTAAAAATAAAGATTTTATTTCTCTACTCGCTTGGAGGTAAGTTTGACCAAGAGACTAAGTTGTATATATTGTATGACACCTTCTTGGAACTTTATTTAAAAAAGGTTGGAGTCTGACTTTGCCACCTTACTTCTTCATGTTCTCCTCTAGCCTTCTGCCAAGAATGCAGATGTGATAGCTAGAGGTTGACTATCATCTTGGATCGTCTTTAAAGGGACACATCCTAAAGAGAGCTGAGAAATAAACTGCTGCATTCTGCAGGATTTTCAACTAATTAATGTTGTAAATTGTCACTTTATCATTACCATTAAGATAATGGTGATATTGGTCCTAATCAATAAAACACTACACTTAGGAAGGATTAAATTCTAAATAAGTTATATCCTCTTGACCTTAAATTCTTGGTAAATACTCACTGTTCAATTAATCCAAATATCTGTATGATTTAAATATTTAGAACTGTATTTAAATTTCTCACAATGGACATTCCCTACTCTGTGTTGCAATAATCTACTCATAATCATGATACCCACAAAATGCTATAAACTCTTTGAAGACAGATTCAATGTATTTATAACTATTTTGTATCTTCTGCGCTATAAAACACAATGCTTTGCAAGAAATTATAATTAAACAATGTTAGTTTAATTGATATTAAAATAATTAAAACTGGTATTCAGAAAATGACCTTTAATTCAAAAAGAATTCCCACTGTTCAACAAATGACCCGCTGTGTTTTGTATATACCTTATTAAAATGCAAAATCAGAATAAGTATGTTTTGAAATATATTTCAGCAAAATTAAGATCTTCTAATAAACAGAAAATTTGATACATCAGAACATTTTTTTTTCACTAAACATTCTAATCTTTGAGTTTTTAATATATGCTTTTGAATTTAGGTAATTTTTTTCTCTGTAAGCCTTTCGTTTATATTTATGCTTGATTCAAACTATGTAGAATCGATAGTATATTCATCAGAACTTTTATCTTGGAAGACAGGCCTGATTGTTAAAGAATTAGTTTGGATAGACGCATAAAAATCATTCATACTTCTCTTCATGAGGTCTCCCCTGAATGCCTCACAACTTCCATTTGTCAATCGATTTTACAATCAGGCAATGTATACAAGACAATACTTAAGCCATCAAGTTTCATTGATTTCACAAAGCTGTTTATCAAAACAGAATTGAAAAATCTTCTTCACCAGCCAAAACAAGCTTAACAAAACTCAGTCCCCTTTGCCAACCACTATTATAAAGTCCTTAAACCTTAAGCTTACAATAGTTCAAGCTTCAAAAATCCTGAATTTACTTGTGCTCCCTAGAGTTTTCATCCCAAATGTAACTCTAGGAGTAAAGCTATATGTGAGGCTATAATAAAATCACCAATTATTCTCTTTCGTATCGATTCAGTTACAAATGTAGCTATATTTGTAAATGCTGGGCTTTTATTCTTCTGCACTTCAGCTTTACATCCAACAGTGAGTAAATGACTTAATCCTTAGTAAAAAAAAAAATATATATATATATATATATATATATATATATATATATATATATATATCAAGAACTAGGAATTTGTAGCAATATAAGAACTTGGTTAACAAAATTATTCATTTGATGCATAGGGAAAATAAAGCAAAACGAAGAAAGGTTAACAATCTCCATATTAATACCAAAAATCAATTTTTGCCTCCAGGCCTGTTATGGCTATGAAACCAGAACTCCATTTACTGACAAAAGAGAAACAGTAAGAGGGGAAAAATAATTAAACCCATGTTTTGCCTAATTCCCAAATTAAAATGCCCATAATGTGATAGCAATTAAGAAAAGAATAATTTTTTAGTACCCGGTATTAAACTAGGATCATAGAAAAATATTTATTGGTAAAAATTTCCAAGGTCTTTTGTAAAGGACTTGTGCAGTTGTACAAGTCACATACAAAGAAAACAGTGATTAGTATATACAAGCCATGCATACATTGTGTGTATGTAATTCAGAAGCTGTCTGTATACAAAATATTTGAGGGCAGGGTCCTAGGTTTGATCCCCAGCAATGGTGAAAAAAAAAAAAAAAAACTGAAAACCTGATGAATAAAACCTCTATAATTTTTTTTCTCTTCAACACAAATAAGTACCTTTTCTTTTAGAAACTTTAACATATTAAAAATACTTCATATTGATAGAAATGGTCAGGCATTTAAAAATCAATGTGGTAAACCTTAAAGTATAAAATATTTAAAGAACATGTAAGAAGCAGCAAACAATTTCAACACTCATTTCTGAGTCCCATTACAATTACATGGAGACTGAAAGTTTTGTCAGGCAACGTATTCAAAATGTAAACCCAAATGGGGTGAAATTTGTGTTGTCCACTTTCAAAATTAATCCAATCCACGCTGTTCTCCCCTGTATTT